TCTTGTATTTCCCAAGTGGAATGACTGTGGACTGTGGAGTGTCTGGATGCAACCACTGCTAGCAGCAATGTCTTTTCAGACTTTCAGGAGCATCTATATGGTCTGTTGAAGACCTGGGTCAAACACGGGGCTGGGCAGGAGCATGAAGTGTACAAGGAATTAAAAATATTTAAAAATATTAATAAATAATATTTAAATAAATAAAATATTGAAACATATTTAACCAGTCATCCACATAGTCACATAAAGCAGACACACAAGATGGCTGAGGGCAAATGCACCTGAGGCCAATGTACAACTCCTCAGCTGAGGAATTGTGTATCACAGAGTGTGTCTGTAGCCTCAATGGCTCTGTGAATGCCACTGTGGGGCAAGCAAAAAATCAAAAAAAGCTTCAGCCTAGAACCTTTCTATTGAAGCCAACAAAGGAAATCAAGAAAAGGTAAATCTTCTCTCACCTTCTTCACCTGAATAGCTGGCTAGCTGTACTTGCCACCTAGACATACTTGAGGAAACAAAGAAAGCATCTAGGCCTATCCATATATCTGCAGGGTTTCAGCTGAACAGGAGAAAGAATTCTCTAGTCAGCTACATGATTTTTTTTGTCTTCAATCCTCTCAACTGAAGATAAGTTTGATATTGATATCCTCTAGCTGAGAGCTTGTCTTTGCTGTAAGACAGGCATACAATTTAGAAAAAGCTGTTTCTGCAGCACATCTGAGTGATTTATTCATTTAGTTCATTAGGCCGGACATAAATAAAAGATGTGGGTGTCAGTCCCCTCCATGCAGCTTTAATTTGCTTGCTCCATGCCTGGTGGAGGTCACTGTCACTCCCCACCTCTGCACTTGGCGTGACAAATGTCCTCCCACACTCCAAGCAGCAACTGCAGCGAGCACAGACCCAGCCAGGAAGCCTCTAGATCTTAATTATAAAACCATAAAAGAAACCAACTGCCTCTGAAGCTCTCTTACTAGGAAACAAATGAGAATGGGAAATTTATTTCCAGCCATAAATCCCAAAGCCTTCAGTTTAATTTTTCCCAAGTTAACTTTCTCACCTAGCTAAGCAGCACTGCCTTCTATTATTAGCTTCTGGCCCAATATCAGCTGACCACCATCAGTCAAACTGTCTTCATCTCAATGAGCTCAGGGACTCCCAAGGAACTCTGTGTATGCTGACTCGTGCTTGCAGCCTCTAATTATATTCTAACAGATAATGGAGCATTTAAACTCAGGGAGGACAGATTAAACTTGTAAGTGGATCAAAATCCTGGACACAACCACAGCTCATAGGATTACTTCCTGGAAACATCAAGCTTGGAGGAAAGGCTCTCATCAACTCTCTGTTGCTCCATGATAAGTTTTTTAAGAATATGTTTTCAGCCTCAAAGACTGCTGTACTTTCCAACTGCAGCATGTCTCTAGAATTTATTACATTGTCAGCTGAGTATCTGGGCTGATGTTAAACCATCTGACCACACCAATGGCTACTTGACTTATCAGACCATGGTAAGAGCCAAACAAATTGAGGCTGAAGAGGTGAAATTGCTTTCCCAAGTGAAACTGTAAGTCCCTGTTCTACTATCAAGGAGCCTCTCAGCTGCACATTTGCCTGTTTTCCTTGCCACAATATTCTCTTCTCTCCATAAAACTCAGAACCATCATATATTCTGTTCCAGGCTCAGGGTGAGGAGCAGGACTGAGCTCCCTGCTGGTGCCCATGGGTCTTGATGGTGCAGGCAGAGCACTTGCACTCTGAATTCAAACTCCAGCCCCCTTTTGGGCACCTGCCAGAGCAGAAACTCTGCCCTGCAACTTAAACCCATGGCCATGCTGAGGGGAATATCCTTTAGACTTTGTAATACACAATACACACTCACAAGGATGTGGGGAAATGGGGTAAACCTTCATGGACAGAACAGCAACAGCAACCTGTGTGTGGTGAAAATAAATCCACACAAGGCTTCCTGTGCAGCCTGGCTCTGCCCTGGTCCAGGCTCCTTTGCAGATCCCAGCTTGTATTGCTGTAGCAGACACAGACCTACTGCAGTGACAAATCTAGGGACAAACACAGGGAGGAAAGGGAAAGGGCTAGCTGGGAATGGGTGGAGAAAGCCTGGAAAACAAACTCTGCCGTGGCTCCCTCAAGAAAAATCCCAAATAAGGGCTGTGCTTTTGGATGGTGGCCAATCCATCCTCTCCTGATGGGAGGTGCTTGGCCAGAGCAGCAGAGCTGACATCAGGCATTATATCATGACAGTCATTACTGCTCCATTAGCAGGGCTCCAGGCTGCTGAAACGACAGCCCAGGAGCCAAAAGTGATTTTCTTTACTCCTTCAGCATAAGGTTTAGCAGAATTTCAGGAGCTGGCAGAGCCCTTTTAGACTCCCATTCTGCCAGCATCAGAAGTTTTCACCTGATCTATGGGCAGTGCCACTAATACCCACAGCAGCAATTCTGTGGACGCTGAAGTGACCCAAGTACTCCCTCTGCACACAAACTGCTGCTTTCCAAAGCCTTTCCATTTTCCAGAGCCTTTCTAAAAGGAATGCCGATTTTTACTTACAGATATAAGGACTTTCCCAGGAAGAAGTAATTGCTGACAAAAAGCACACCTACAAAGTCAAGGGTGTGACACATATAATGGCACCTTCCCACTAACCTCCTCTTCCATTCACTACCAACACTGGCAGACCCTTTTTAACAAAGAATTAACCCCACCATGTTCACTGTGGCATTTAGCCACCTCTATTCCTTTCAAAATCTGACACAAGTGCTTTTAACCAACAGCCATTATTCGTAACACTTTTTACTGAAGTGCAACTGATGCATTTTGCTTTCAGATGCACATTTGAATATTTCCTCATAAAATGAGTAAACAGTGTTCAGTTTTATCAGGATAGGCATACTGACTAAAGTCTTGAAGTGACAATAAGTAAAACAGTAAAACACTTTTTTTTACTCTCATGTACATTTCAGTAAAAGATATTTAGGTTATCTCCTCACGATTTAAATTTTGGCTTAAATGCTTTAAATGTTTATGCCTTTTTTGGGACAAGTAGAAGTAGTCACATTAAGGCCATAAATAATGCTTAGGTCATTCTCTTTGAAAGTGCATTGTTTCAGGAGCTAAACAACTGGTTTAGGTGGTATGGATGGCAAGAAACCTCTGTATAATTGGATTAGCAATTATTTCACAAGAATGAAATTTAATTATCTTCATCAATGCAGTACGGGAAAGGATTACAAATCACTGCACATATATCAAAACCAGCACTGACAGAAAACATTATTTCTCCTTATTGCCACTTGTATTAATTAATGATGAAGTCTAATTTTTTTTTATTGTTATTAAAAAGAATCTAAGGGCTATTTTTAACCTCAAGAACTAAAAGCATCTTTAATTTTTCTTTCATCTTGCAGCCACTGGGTCAAAAACTCAGGAGAAAGTATTAATTTAAAGGGAAACCTTCCCTACTGTAACTCTACAGCCAAAAATCTCCAGAATTCCCAAAAGGCTCTTCATTTCTGAGCCATTTATCAGATGTTTTGATGCAAACACTGGGGGGAAGTTTGGTCCAGTGAACCAAACTGACCTGAGCTGAGCTGTGAAACCTCACACAAGCAACTCTGCCTTTTGTCAAGGACCTTATGTTTTCTTTGCTTCGAGGTTAATCAGTATCAGAGGAGGAGCTATTGCTACTATTTCTCTATCAGATCAGGGGTCAGATCCTGATCTGGCACAAATTTCTCAGTTCCACACAGTGATAACAATTCCCTCACTTTTAGGCTGGAATCTGTGTCACTGACTGACCACTGACACCCAGTTCACTGGATCTCACCTCTCCTCTTGGGGCAGCTCAATTATTAGCAAGATTCTTTGTCCATTAAGCACAGATATCTAATACTTGTTATCCCTTTAGTGCAATTAATTCCTTTTAAACAGTGCCAAAACTGCCTTTTTTTTATTATTTATTGTTTGTGCAAAATGATTACTGAATGCAACAGAACCATAGAATGATAAAATAATCGAGGTTGGAAATTATCTAACCAACATAAATGTGTAGTGCTCTGTAAAAAACACAGGAAATCCCTTCCTCTACACAGCCTTCCTTCAACTGCCTAAGAACTCAGACATAAAACAGCTGTCTGGAGCACCTAAATCCATAGCTGCACATTCCTGTTCACTTCTAGGTGGAAGAATAGACTATATAATGGGAGTACCTTCTCCTTGTGGCTTACAGTCTCATTAATGCTAAGAAATCAGGCCTACACACAGAACAGGTCAGCAAGACTTAAAAGCCATATGCAATTTTCAAGTTCACAAGAGTGACCTACAAAAAAAGTGCAAATTTCTATGACTTATCAAAAATTGTCACTGAATAAGAAATGGAGATTCATGGTGTCAGTAAGCCTTGATCTTGACACAGAGCTGAAAACTAAGTGTAAAGCCTCTGTGATCATAGACCATTCATGGACATTACCATCTTGACCTCTTATCCATGGCATTTCAGATTTGTAGAGCAAAAGGGCTTTTAAATCCAGCATATTTTATTTTTCCCCTTCTCCCTGTTATGCTTTGCAGCTGCTGCCAGCTTCCAGAGTCTTGGAACACCAAAGTGGGGGGAAATGAGCTGAATTTCTGTTCCTGTGACTTCTACACCAATACAGACCTGCATGAATGGTAAGATCCTCCCCTGCAACTCCTGTTCTCTCTTCCATAGCTTTTCTGCCACAGAAAGATACAATATCTGGCCCATGAGACAGAGGAGTTTTAGTCTTACACTGACAGAAAAACAAATTCTTAGAAAACTCCAAGTATCTTGGGGCACATGCAGTGGAAAACCCAGCCCCACCAGGTGCTGTGAACAAGCCTCCTTCTGCTATTTAAATATAAAGAAAGAAAACTGGCAAGAATTTCCCTTTACAACCTCTATGGGCTACAGAAAGGTACCACCCATGCCAAAATCCAAAGACATTGCTTGTGTTTTACTTACATCCATAAACTCCACGTTGGCTTTTGGACCAGTGGTCTCATTAAGGATCTTGATGGCCACAGGAATCTTTACTGTTTCTCCCTCAGGGACCCAGATCCCCTAGAAAAAGAAAAAAAGAAGACTAAGAAGACAATAATCAGAAAAAACTTGATTCAGAGTTACAGTTCTTTTTGACACATTCTGTCATGTTATACAGATCTGTTATGGGACTCATAACAGAGAATACACAAAATTACAAAATAAAAGAATTCCATAAAACTGCTTCTAACATCAAAACTAAACTCTGATTTAAAATGAAACATTTTGTATCAGTGAACATCCTTGATTTTCTTGTCCACAACAGGGTTTCTAAAGAGTAATAGCAGCATGGACATGATGCACATTTTCTAGTGACTCAGATACAATTCTGATACTGATTCGGATATAATTAAACAAAAATCTGTATTTTCTGTCTGGATTCTGATGCTCAAATTTGAAGCCATCGGTAAACTCTCAAAACTGATTATCACCAGATCATAACATCATGCAGGAACAGAAAACCCTGAGGATAGTACATTTAGAATGAAGCATTTAGGGGCTGTTTGTAGTTTGTATAATTACTTAATACCTGAGAATAAAAAACTTAGGTGGCTAAATAGGAAATTTAAAATTAAAATTCACAAACTGTCTTGGGCTACTTTTCCATCATTCTTGACTACTGCTGTGTTCTTGTCAATCTCATGGCACATTCTAAGTACATTCAAACTCGTAATTCATAAATCTATTCCCGTGACCTTGTAGCTACAGCGACCTGGTCTGTGCTTCCTTCTTTTCCTCCCTTCTTTGAGGACACATGCAGGTGCTCTGATCTACCACCTGGTGCTCCCAAAGGATTGGGGAATTGATTTGACATGCCCACTAAGCCCCACTTCATGCCTTTGAGATCTGGACATGGCCAACAGGTCTTAAAAAATAAATACTTCTTTAACTGAAGTACTTTCTCCTTTTTGGGTTCCACCCTCACATCCCAGTTGTTCAAGTATGCTCTGAAGTAACTCATCTTTTTTTTTTAAGTGGAAAAAATCAGAAGTGCTACAGTTTAGGTGATGGCATTGCTTTTACTAGGTATTATTGCTGGTGCAAGACCCATGTGACACTTGTGAAATGACAGACAGCGTTTATCCATCTTTCCAAAAGATGGAATATGATAAAAGATGCTTTAGGTAAGAGCAGAAGGGCAAATCTTGGTGCTTCACTTTGCCAGCAGGACAATCCAGTTTGTGTAGCCCTCTTGCACATAAAAATGACTGGGGCTGACATGTTTTTGCTCACCAAGAAAGAATATTTGCAATTTGAACTCAATCCTGAGGATGTGTTCCTTGCACACAATTCCAGAGCCCTTTCTCTCCCAGGGCTCAGGAACCACCCCTGGGACAGGCTGTGTTGGAATCTGGTATTGATGATTCTGAGACTGTAGAAATTCTCTGTCTTTCTGCCCCGCTGCCAAAGCAGAAGCCATAATTGGTCTGTGCTGGTTTCCAGGTTGTTTATTCTGTTTATCTCTCACATGTTCTGCTGCCCTGCCCAGCTCTGTCCTGCAGGGCAGCGTGTGGGGCTCTGCCCTCAGTGGGATGTTACAAACATTCAATACCAGAAACTCCCTGGGCTGGATTTACAATAACGTGCCAATATCTGTCACCTACGTTGGACAGTGTGTCCCCAGCCTGAACCAACAGAACAATGCCAGCACCACAGTGAGACATGGAGGGCATGAAGAAGGAGAAAAAGGACAAGGCACACCCAATTTCCTCCATCTTGTCCCCTTTGGACCCCTAATCTAGAATCCTAAAATTTGACTTTTGCACCCGTGCCACACTTAATTATTACTTATATCAAACCCTCAGAGCTGGTAATTCATCCTGTAAGATTGAAAACTCTTTTCCATGGGCAGAGATCACAGCCAGTGTCTCTGGGGGCTCTGTCCAGGGGGGTTCCTGACCCCTGCCAGGGTCCCAGGGCAGCCAGAGGGAATCCCTGGATTCTCACAAGGCTGCTGTGCTGCAATGCACAAGTTGCCTGCTCCAGAGGTGAAAGAGGGGACTCAGGGCTGTGTGGGGAAGGCTCTCACCTTGTACACTGTTCCAAAGGCTCCAGAGCCCAGCACCTTGACTCTCTTCAGCTCTGTCTCCTTCAGGATGCGGAGCTGGGCTTGGTTGGGCGCCGTGCCGCTCGGGGTCAGGGGCTCCACCAGCTGCAGGGAAAACCCAACAGTCCCAAACATTGCTGAGCAAGGAGACCCATCCGGAGTTTGTGCTGAGAGCAACCAACCCAAGGAAATACTGGAACCAGACAGTGGTGGGGATCTATTGACCCCTGCCCTGTCAACTCTTGGAGGGATTTTTCATCTTCAAAAGCAAACGAGCAACGCCACGAAACCAAGAGACCTGATAAAGCAAGTCCTCACTAAAATGCAGTAATTTCCACCAGAAACTGCGTGATGGAATTATGAACTGGAAATTGAATTGGTGTCAGAGTAACACATCCAAGGACTTCTGATAATGGAGGCAGTATAAATATTTTCTACATGACAGAAATATAGCATTTATTATCAGTGTACCACATCCTATTTTTGCCCGTTTTAGTGTCTTTTAAGTTGGCCATATTTCTTTTTAATGGCCTGGACTAAACGGCTCATCACATTCTTATTCTGTTTTGAGGAAGGGACGATTTTCTGAAATTCTGTTTTACCACATAGGAAGACAGCTTTAGGGAGAAAACACCTTAGAGCAGGCAACTAATTTATAACAGCCACTAATTTACTGCAATTAAACAATTTGCCCAAGATGTCCCAAGAAACTTTGTAAATGAGGCACAATGGCACATTCAGATAAAAATGCTCATAGATCTCATACCATCTCTGCCAGAAAAACAATGCTTCTTTAAAAATAAATTAAAAATACACATAGAGAACAATACTCAATACAACACATGAAAAGCATTTTGTTCCTTTACAGGATGAGGAAAATAATTCAGAGCTTCTCCTACTCAAATTTGTTTGAAAACAATGCAGCACTTCAAAGCTGCCTGTTTACAAGGCTAAACTCATCATGCTCTGCAGTTTGAGATCTACTTCTATAGCTCTTTGGGCACCATGAACTACTTAATTAGTTGACCAGACTAATTAGTTTTGTTCAGGTGAAAATACTAGTATCTGGCAATTAACGGGGAAGAAAACATAACAAATCCAAACAGCAACAAGTTGAGTGATTTCTCTTTCCTCCATCCTACTTTAGATGTTCAGTATTTATACCATGAAAAAAAGGTTTGTTTTAGAAGAAAATTAGGCAAACTGGCAGCACACTTCTGTATTTTCAGTTTGTGAAGGATGAAAAGAGGTTCTGTGCCACAGTCATGGCAGGGAGAAGAGGGGATGTGTTGTGGGGGTCTAAAACCAGGCTTGTAGGGTTTTATAGAGAATGATCTACAGAAAGAGTAAGTCCTGTTGAAGCCTCCAGCTAGAAAGAGAGACTTCAACTAAAGCTAATTGCTTGTGTGTTTATTTCAGGATGCTGCTGATTTAATCTTCAGTTTCTCACCCAAGGCAGCAGCTTCCCCACATGTTCAGTAGGAGGCCCTGGTCCCTCAGGACTATTGCCAGCCACAGCTTTTATCTGACCCAGTGAAAAATGAAATCTGGATTTCAAAGCCAATGCAAGGAGAACCACCTGCTTAAAATAATTTATGCTTAAGTATGGGTTGATACAGTGGCAAGATTTATTCATGTAAAGGCACTGAGTATTGTTAAGCTTTCTATTCAGCTGAACAGTGTTTAACAAGCAACACAAATTCTAGCCAAACAGGATACTCATGCAAACAGACTGGGGATGCATAAATCATTTACTCCCAGGCTCTAGAGTGGAGCTGAGTGGGAGCAGAACCCTTGGAACAGAAGAGAAAACTGCACTGTTAATAATGCCTTATCAAAGAGTCACTAGCTAACAGCATTTCCAAGCTTTATTATCTCACAAAGGTGCAGTCTAATTTAAAAGTACCATCATTTGCAAAGTGTCTCAAGTATAGGACTGAGGAGATGACAGTAATCACCACTGCAGTAGCTGATAGATATACATTTAAAGTTACATTTAAACATACTTCCTAGATTGCCCCTTTCACTAATGACACTTCAAAGAGCAGGATGGAGCTGTCATAGCACTCTGCTATAGCTCTGCTACATGTTCTTGCCAGCAGAACTGTGAACTTCAGTTGGTTAAGCTCTGTGGAATATCTCAGCTTAATAAAATACATTATTATTACTGGTCATTACTACAGCCTTTGACAAAATCTGCACTACAAAATCTGAAGGTACAAAATCTGGACTACAAAGGTATTGTAGGCACTAGGAACAACAGTAAGTTACAACATCTGCCTTTAAGCATGAAGTTTGTAGCAGAGCTTGCTGAAGGAACTTACTTTAGGCTTAAAAGCCAACTTAACATGGAAACATGGCCAGAATGAAACCCTGTAATAGTTAACCATGAGAGCTGCTAAATGTACTGAAGAACTGGAACAGAAGTTCAGTGAATTGCAGAATGGGAGCTGAGAAATCTGGTGGGACACACCTTCTAGTGACCATAGGGAACTTTTCCTGGTCTTCAGAAGCCACAAATCCACAGCTGTGCAGAAAGCCAGCACCCTGAAACAACTTTGTTATTTTCACCAGTTTAGTCTGCACAGGTCAGCAGAAGGATTTCTACAGGTAAGGGAAGAGCTGAACATCTCTAATATAGGAGCAGAGCAGCCTTCATTTCCCTCCAGACAGGCTGTGAGAGGCAGCCCGGGCTCACCTCAGTCTCCAGGAACCTTCTGAGTGCTCTCTTCTTCTTGATGCTTTTGCGCCGAACGTACACGGCGAACGTCAGGCCCATGATGACGATGATGAAGAGGCCACCAATGACTCCTGCAGCAATCAGGGGGGTTCTGGCAATCAGAAGCAGAGACTTTACTTCCTCAGCCAGGGGTGAGAGACCAAAGAATGCTTGGGTGTATAAAACACAGCCACGTGGAAAGCTCATTAACTGCCTCATGAATTCCAGCCCAGATGGGAAGTCAGGGCAAACACATGGACACATGGTAGGAATTTGCTTGCTTTTAACCATTATGCCAATTCCATTTTTTTGTTTACAAACCCCCATGCACGTGTGAGGAGTTGTGTGGACAAGGAAACACAACATGCACTTTGATGGCAAATGCAAATCTGCAATGGCAAAATGAGGACACAGGAATCTGCAGGTTCCTGCAAGAGATCTGCCTGTGCTGGCTTTGGTTCCACCCCTATCAACTCCTGGGCTCCTGCATTCAGAGGAAAACAAGCCCGTGAAAAATCCCAAGATTAAAAACACAATGTGTTCCTGAGTATGGAGGATGTGAGAGGGAACTTCACTTCACAGGCAAGATATGGAGATCATCTACACAGGCAATAGAGAAATCAGGCTCCCTCCAGAGAAAAACTCAAAGCAGTACCTTAAATTAGGCATCTTCACAGCATACCAACAACTTACCACACTCAGAGCATTTAACATCCCTCCAACAGTGGCTGGAGAGTTGCTGAAAAGATGGGTAAAACCACAGCAGGACAACTTCAGAGTACAATGGTGCTGAAACCATTGCCTGGTAAGCCCAGAAAACAGATTAACTGTTTTCAGGATTGTGGAAACATCACTGCTGTGCTCTAAAAGCCTCCTTCAGTTACATTTGAATGATGATGAAAGGTACATTACAGCCCATTAATAAAAATGTACCACACAGCTATGGAAAATTTTAGTCTCCCTCAGAAATACGGAATTGTTTTATACAACCCTTTCTTTATTCTTGTTTTTACAACCTTTCCTGAAGCAGTGCCATCTCACCTGGTATGGTGCATGAAGGTGTGTCTACATCACCTCTGAGAAAGCCTCATACTCCCACATCCAGTATTTAAATGTATTTATATCCATGTTTTCCCAGGGCAAACACATTAGCACAAAGGCCTATTGCAGTTCACAGACTTTATGATGGAAACTCCAAACTTGCAAATAAAGGAAGGGGAATATTGTCTGGCTGGGAAATGGGTTGTGGTGTTTGGGGAACATGAGTTGAGTACCACCTCCTCTTCCTTAAAGCACATTGCCCTTTCTCACCCCAGTGGTTACTCTGTGATTTTGAGTGCAGAGCTTAAAGAATCTGGCACATCCACCCCAAACAACGCTGCTCTTTATTTACATCTCTTTCCACATTGCAAGAAACTCTTTAACAGGCAATTATGAAAAACACTGGCCACCAAAAGCCTCCTGTGGAGCTTGCACTGCCTAATGCTCTTGAGCAGAGGAATTTTTAAAATTCATTTTTATGCTGTATGAGCAGTCATATAATTTTTAACAAACACCACCAAACCACAGAGTGACTCAACAGGCAGGAGAACTCTCAGCTTTAAAGTGCCTATTAACAGCTAGCATAACAGTTGTCAAAGTAAGTAATTGAAGTTTTATAGTACTGTGTACTTTAAAAGTAGTCCAAATAATATTTACATGATAGACTATAATAAAGAAATGGTTCTAGAGGGGATATAATAAGTAATGAAGAAAATAAAATGAATTTTGTAGCCCTTCTACTGTTACAGAGTACAAGGGGGTTCAAAATGTATCTTTATGATTCCTCATGTGAACTCTCACTGACTTTGAAAAAATGTCCTCAATTTTAGTAGGTAATTGAAAAAAAGGAAATAATTTTCAATGACTTCACCAAACAAGCATTTTAGTTGCTAATGTGAAATATCCTATATTATACCTGAATTTTCAGGAGGTACCACCTAAAAATATTATCAGGTAAGCTTAAAAAGGAAGCATGAAAGGGATAGTACAATGTGCAATAAACTAATGCATTTAAATGCTAAACAAATCAGTGAAATACAGAAAAAACCTGTATTTTCCACTCAAACGGCGATCAGCTGCCTTGACTCCCAAATCCACTACCCTTGCATGAAATCCTGTAAATCATAAACTCTTGGATTTGGTCACATACCCAGCAGCTTCTCCTCTCTCTGCTGCTGAGCTAAGCCTCAAAGTCAACAGCCCTGTGGTTTATTTGCTCCAGGACCAGATGCCAAGTCCCTGCAGCCACAGCTCCATTACCACTTCCCACTGCTTTCAAGCACACATGGATTATTTCCTTAACCCAGTTTTCAGGCTGCTACACCATCACTGGGGTTATTTTCACTTGGGTTTGTTGGGTTGGCTTTGCTTTTTCTCTCTGTTCTGCTAATACCAGCTCTCCTGCCTCAGTTCTCTGCTTATTTTCATGCTTGCAGAGCCTTACCTTTAATACCCTGATGGATTCCATTAAGCTGTTTACCTTTCTGCTGGGCCATTGCTGGGGCTGTTCAACACGGATCCCTGCAAGGTGGCACTGACCAGAGCTGCTGCTGAAGTTTCAAAACCTTCTCCCATTTTGTTTGTTGTTTTTTTTTTAATCCAATCCTTTTTTGCATATGCACCTAACAAATTGTTCGGCTTCACAGGCAGCTGGACACACAAATCTCCTTTTCTCTAGTGGCATTAAGGGCTTAATCCACTTACTTTTGTTACATTACTGTCCCACAGCCACCTCCATGACTGCAATTCCTGACATTTGCCCCCCTCAGACTATTCCTCACTTAAAACTAATTCCATGAGCAATGCTGATGAAAAGACAAAAAATGCACTATCAAAAGCCCCCATCATGTTAAAGTAATTTTTAAAAGCATGGAGGACTGAAAGGTCTCAGAAAAGTTCCATGCCAGTCCTGCCTGTCCAGCATAATTCATGGACAGCCAAAAGTCAATCCTGGCTCACATTTCTTACAGCTCCACCACTAACCCACCAACAGGAAACTCCTGCTATAGCCACTGCTTTCCTTTACTGGAAATCTACTTTTAAATTTCCTTTACACTGGAAATCTACTCCAGAGGATGGAAACAATCTCTGTTAGGTGTTTCTGGATTTTCATGCTCATCAAAACAGGCTTAGCAGTCCAAGAAACATGGCCCTGAATCATAGTTCAGCCCCATATAATTAATTTGCTATCCCACATCTCTCCCTCAACTGAGGACAGAATACCCAATTAATAAGTGGAAAAGGCATCAGCTGAGGGGAGCTGTGGGAGGGGAAAAAAAACCCACAACATAAAAATCCTGCCTCTTAAACTAGAAACTGTGTATCTGTGGCTAAAAGTTGAAAGAAAGATTCCAGTATCCCCTTAGGAGAAATGAATAATATATATGTATTTCTTTTTTAAAGGGTACTGTGTTTCACATTTAGAAACACGTAACACTCACTCCCACACACCAAAACTGACATTGAGTTCAAAGTCAGTATTCCAGGATGAACAAAGATGCTCAGCAGCAGGGCTCACACCATTGCATCCACTCCAAAAGATCAGGATATCTGCAATTCCCACAGTGCCCTGAGTGCAGGTATTAAAGTCTAATTACTGATTTAGATGAGTACAGGGTTGGTCTCATACTCTTGACTGCAGAGTGGAGCAGAAAGGGGAGAGGAAATCGAGTTGTGTCTCATGGAGTAAAGCTGACAAACACCACCTGCTCCTCCACCCTTGGCATTGACCCACCTGTTCTGAGATGTAAAGAAACTCAGCTTTGGAGCCAAGCTGTTAGAAGGCTCCAAGTTCCTGTACCAACTTTCTCCTGCTTGGAATTTTTATCTGTATATCCAAACAGGATTTATTACAACCTTGAGTGTTTGCTAAGCAGTTCCTTCTCACAAATCCTTGTTACCAAGGCATTATTTTTTCCTGATGGATGCTTCCCACACTCTGCATTCCTCACCCCTTCCATCAGTGGGGGTTCAGCCAACTTTAAAGCTGCCCTTTCAGAGATCTGATGGATTCTACTAATCCTGTAGAGATAATCTTAGTATTTTTAACATACAAGATAAACAACCAGGCTGGGAAGCAAATTTTGGATGTTTCAACAGTTGCAGCCACAAGGTCCAGAGTGCCTGGTGTTCACCCCAGGGGTGGCAAGGATTCATCTGATGTTATTCTCACCAAGACTGCTTTGCTTTATACTCCTTTTCAAGAACAAGGCACCCTTCCCCCTCTCCCCTCCTAACTGGAGGGTGTTTGAATACTGATATGTGGCCCTATTTATGTGCAGACTGAGAGTTTTTATCATGAGTAAACACAAATTTTAACTCACAGCTGATCTCACAGTTAGGCAACTACTACCAATTCCACATTTAATCCAGAGATTCAATGTGGGCAAACTATCAACTTTTCAATATGCAAAATGACCTGAGGGTTGCAGTCTGTGTCTGGGTCCACTCAGCAGTTAAACATCACTAAAGAGCAGACACAGCTTTCACTTTGGCCAAGGCTCATGTGGACAAACATGAACCTGTTGACAAAACTGCTTTTTCTTGCTGGTTCTTGTATCGATACCTGTGAAGGCATGTTCTACTCACACCTCAGGAGTCCCTATTTCACTCAGCAAAGTAAATGAGGATAAAGGAAAAAAAAAATACTAAGTATAGCTTTAAAAATTATTGCAGCCCAAGATTCTACACATTAATATGTATTGATCCAAAATCTGTGGTATTTTTATTACCACACACAGAGAACAATGGATTTCTTTAAAACTGGTTTTAAATCTGAACGGCATAATTTACAACTACCACTCTGTTACATTTTCACTATAAATGACTAAGAACTCTCAATTTTAACTCCCTGTTAATACATCTGACTAGGAATAATTACCGAAATCTCAGGGATTACAGCATCAATATCAAGGCTTTTTATGGGCTTCTCCTCCTCTAAAATTGAAAAGTCCCAATAAAATCTCTTGCATCCCTGCCATTTTTAGGCTGAGATTTTTCTTTTCTGCCTCAACTTAAAAAAGGAATGGTATTGTTAAGAGCTTGCACAGTGACTGTGTTTTGAAGCTTGTG